GGCATAATTTCCATGGATTGAGCATGTGTGGGACACTATGCATGGTCCTTTCACAGCTATACTGAGCGGGTGGTGCTATTGCCAGTGAGAAAACCGAGGGCAGAGCGGCCCCGTGCTTGTCCAGGGTCTAACCGCCGGTGAGTGCGGGCTTGCTCTTCCATCTGGGAGATTTACCAAAGAAATCAAACCATACTGTGCAGACTGGTAACTTTCGGACTATCCATTTTGAGGCATTCGATAACAGAATGGAAAAGATTTATAATTTATTTTTTTTACTTATTGGTTCTGGATATGCTGTGATCTGAGAAAAAAATGATTGTTAAAGGTTACTGAGAGGTACAGATATCCCTGCTCTAACTCACCCTTCAGTGCTGTGTGGTAGATACTTAGTAATATTTAAAGCAGTTTTGAGCATTCATGTAACAAAAGTCAGAATGCTACACCATTAGGACTGGGAATTGTTGCATGGGGAAAAAAAATTGCCTTTTGGGTGTAAAAGCAATTATTTTAACTTGGTGGAATAAAAACATTGTAGGACTGGGTATACTGTATAAATATATATGTTTACATAGATGGCACTTATTATGATAGATTCTGGTGTATCCCCTGGAGAATACGTTGGAAAAATAAGAACACAATTTGATCAAGTAGCAGTCTTTCCCAAGATGCTGTAAGTACGATTAATCAGCAGCTTCTGGTCATAGGTTGATCCTCTTAGAATAATGATTTTAAAATTAAAGGAGAGAAATTTCAAAGGGAAAAACAAATATATGTGATCTGACATTCATAGAGATGGCAGTGGGAATCTCAATTGGGCTTTACAGATTTATCCATGATGCTTTGCCCAGCTCATGGGAGTGAAAACCTGTGCCCGTCCCCTCCAGAATTGGTAGTCTCTCTGTTAATCAGATGGGGCTTAGTTTTGTATGGTCTCAATAAAACATGCACATAATTACATAGCTCCTTACTACATAGCTGGTTTCCAAATGGCAGGATGGATCACAAAGGGAGTAACAGTGATTCTGGGAAGAACATGATTAGTTGCCTCATCTCAGGGGCTAAAGACTGAGGAGATCTGTGCTTCTCAAAGGCCTGCCTTCTCTGACACCCTCAGGCCACTTTCCATGTGCCTGATCTAGCACAGTCCATCCATCTCCCCTGGACCTGCTTGCTCTGCACCGGAGGGTTTAGCTTTAATCACACTGCTCTCACCTCTGGTTCAGATCGCTGTTTATTTTTTAAAAAGGATTTCCCTTCCTCTTTCCCTCTTTTCTTCCTTCTCCTTTGGACTCAGAGACATCTGGTTCTGGAGGTCCCAAACACACGCCCTTCAGTTTCCCAAGAGGCCTAGGCAGCTCTTTCCAAATCAGAATTTGCTTCAGAATCCTCCAGGATGGATGGAGGAAGAACTTGTGAGAACGTATAGGTTTTAGATTGTACTTAATCGGTTGGAATCTTTTCAGTTGCAAAAGGCATAATCGAAGAATAGCCAGAAACTGTCTAGTCATGTGTTTGTTCATTCAACAAATATTTTTGAATGGAAAAGTTACAGTGTGCCTGGCTGTGTACTTGGTGCTAAAGATCCAGCAGTAAATAGAAATGGCTTTTGTCTTTAAAGAACTTACAGCCTGGTGGGAACTAAGGGGGAAAGATGAATGGGCAAAGAAAGGAGTTATGACGCAGAAGGAAAATTTGACTTTTTGTGAGGCTCAAAGGAGGTGGTTGTGGACAGGAGTTTGTTTTAGAAAAATAAAGGTTTTTCTAAGCAAAGACACAAGCCTGTGCAAAGGTATGGAGACAGGAGAGAGCCGCCTGATCGGAACTGCTGTGGTTCCTCATGAGTATGTGGAGGATGAGAAGACAAGCAGTAAACGTGGCTCTTGGTGGTAAAGGAAGAACACAAGAAAATGTCCCAGAGTTAAATTCATGAAGTACAGACAGAGTTCACTCGGCACCCTATGAATGACTGAAAAAGACTCAGTCCTAAGTGTATGCTATTTAATTTCAGGATCCCAAGGACGAATACAAGATCCTAAAAGCTTTCAGAAAGGAAAAGCTATATAAAAAGGATTAGTAACCAGAGCAGCATCAGACTGCACCATAGGCTCATTGGAAACTAGACTATGAGGTAATGCTTCCGGAATTATTTCCTACCAAGAATTACATACCCAACTGGGCTTCCAATCAAGACATTTTGAGACACACTGATTCTCCAAAAAATGACGTAGGGCACTCTATTCAGGTAGCTAACGGGAGATGTGCACTGTCAAAGAGAGAAAGTAAAGCGAGAAAGAGAAGCCAGGAGAAACAAGGACAGGCATTCACAGAGGGAAATGTGAAGGAAATTCTTAGGGCGATGGGAAAGGGAAGGGAAGTCCCAGTTCAAGTCAGGCCTCCAGAGCAACCCTTCCAGCCAGACTGAACCAGGGTGAAGGGAGAAGGAGGAATGTCTCCAAAAAAAAAGGGTAGAATAAAAAAATTACCTGATGTTTTTTCTTTACTGAGAGTACTTTTGCAGTTCTTGGGAGAATTTGATGAGGTTAACAAGTGTTAGGAGTATAAGAAGCTAAACAAACAACAACAAAGCAACTAGTAACTCCAGGAGAAACAAAAAGTTATCCAAGAAAGGAAAAGTTACTGAATTCTACATAGCACTCCTGGGAATAATATTTACTTTGTCAGTAAACCCTGAATATTGACTAGACTAAATGTTACGGTGTAGTTGGAAGCTGGAAGGATTAGGCAAGTGTGGCCTACTATGTGCAAAGAGGTAAAGGGTAGTATATGAGGACTAAAGGCTTATCGTCCACTGACAAAAATTAATAATATCTAAAATTAAACCAGGAAATTGCAATATAAACACATTTTTTAAGAAATAGAGGTAAATACCAGGAGAAAATGCTAAAGGGGTTGAAATTAGTTCCCTCTGGAGAGAGAATCCAGTGAGGAGAGGGGTGGGCACAGGAATTCTAATTTTATTATAAGCCTTATAGTTCTATTTTCATTTTTGTACTTTTATAAAAATAAAAAATAATTAATAAAAATATAGGACTAGCGTCTGTAACACTGAGGGAATTTTTCATCGGTGTTTTGCATTCTGTTGAGCAAACTATTTAACTTGCATATTCCGTGTACCTACCTTTGCCACATTTCTTAATTTTACCTACTTTTTTTTTTTACTTTTATCTGATTAACTAAAGATGAATTGAAACTAAAGTTAGTAAGGTAAATTATTGGCTCAAATATGTGTATGCCCCTGGATGCTATGGCATGTTCTGCCTGCATTTTCACATAGATGCTGTTATCTTTTCAAAGTTAGAGATTAAAAAACAGTCTCCCCTTTTACCTTCTCCCCAATGTAGAGCAGAGCTTGCACTCACATAAGAAATCTTCATTCTTCAGTGACCTGCGTTCCTAAAACGGGATTGCTAGTCAGCTGCACAGAAAGATCTCTGAGCCGCCTGCTTCCATCACTCAGCCAAGCTGCACGTTGTTTATAAAGAAATGCTGTCAATTTGAATAGATAGAAACTGCCCCCTCCACCTTTTTATTTTGAACATAATCAACTCCCACAGAAAAATGACCAGAGTAGTAGAATACCATAAACTTCCATCTGGATTTGCTAGTTCTTAACATTTTGCCACGTTTGCTTCATCTCTATACCCATTTTATTTTGAGGGAGGAGAGTTGAATAATTTTAAATTAAGCTGTAGATAGCATACTTTACCATGTCTATCAGCATATCTTCCAAGAACAAGGACATCTTCAAACAAGAACAAAATAATAAAATAATGTTATTTGCCATAGATAATGTAATATTATCTAGTATATAGTATATATTCAGATTTTCCTAAAACCCCAGTGATACTTTCATAGATTTGTTTTGATCCAATATCCTTATTCTAGAAGTTTCCCTGCTTTAAAAAAAAAAAAAAAAGTCTTTCATGACATTGACAGGAGGAGGCCAGCAGACCAGTTGTTTTGTAGAGTGTCCTGTCCACGTGTTGTCTCATTGCTCCCCACGAGGTTCTGGTTTACAATGTCGGCAAGCATGTGTACACAAACTTTCTTATCCACCTGCTTTGTATGCGCGTTCTGTTTTCTTGTTTGTGTGCTTTTGTTTTGTGTTTCCTGCTAAGCCGTGGTTTGGCCTGGGGTGCGGAGGATGAACGCTTACCTGGTGCGCAGTGAAACACCTGAGACTGCAGAAACTATCACTCTAATAATCTCGGGGAGGGGACATCCGTTCCTCTGGAAACAAGCATAATATTTTCGTTCGGCATTCTTGGCAGAGGCCGTTGGATGACTTAATATACTGTAATCAGGGCAAGTTTTCTACTCTTTAATTAAGTTTCTGCTGCAGCACACAGGCCAGGGAGCCACTTTGGAAAACACTTGGCTGGCTTTCCCATCGTCCCTAAGCCGAACGGTGTTTGCTTTTGGACCCTAAACGCTGGCTGCGTTCGGCTTGCAGCACGTTGGCTCTCCTCGGGCCAGGATGCCCCGTTGCTTAGGTTATGTGTATTTTGCGTGAAGTGAGCACAACGTGGAGCGATGGCATGCCTCGCATGCCAGGAGAGCTATGCAAGCCCGCTGCGGAAGGCGCGCTTCCCGGCCGCCCCGGCTTCCTGATAGGAGACCTGGTGACACAGTAGCCTTTCGGCAGAGCTCCTGGGGATGTGCAGGAAGCGCGGCTACAGGTCTTGTCCGGGGGGGAAATCTGAGCCATTTCTCCGTGGACAGCTGTGTGGCGGCGTCAGGGCAAGTTGCTGCTGAGTTTTGCACGGGCTGCCAGGGTACGTGTTTTCCTTCTGATTTGTTTATAGTCCTGGTTTTCCTCCTCCTGAGTCATCAGGGCCCTTTCTGGAAGTTTCACAGGGCTTTTAATACGTGACCTGAAGTGGGACTCAAGGGGTTCGTTCCAATGTGCTTGTAACCCGACTTCTCTCTCTCTTTCTCTCCGCAGAGTGTGTGGAAGTATAATCCTTTGTCATTATGCGATGTCGTCTCTCGGTGCCTCCTTTGTGCAAATTAAGTTTGATGACTTGCAGTTTTTCGAGAACTGCGGCGGAGGAAGCTTTGGGAGTGTTTATCGAGCCAAATGGATATCACAGGACAAGGAGGTGGCTGTGAAGAAGCTGCTGAAAATAGAGAAAGAGGTAAGGTCCTTTCCCGCTCTCAGCAGTGGTCGTCCTGGCGCTTATGTAAGTTTTTCAAGCTCGAGTCAGAGGTCACAGGCTGCCAGGGACCTCGCAAGGCCTTTGGGGCCGACCCGCGAGGCCGTTTCCCAACCTCCGTTGCGGGAGCCCCATAAATAGACATCGTCGCCGCGTGTGCTTTAGGGTGGATTTCTCCCAGGCTCATCTGAACTGAGAGGGTTTCTTTCCAGGGCATGAAACAGCCCGAATGTTCTCTGAACTCTCCTGGAGAGGAGGTCTGATTTCAGACCTTTCCTTTTTCCACCTCAGCCAAGAGGGGTCAGTAAAGAGTAACGTGTCCAGTTTTCATCCCCCTTCCATTTTCTGTCCCTCCGTGAATTTGTGCTCCAGAGTTGTCTTTCAAGAAACAAAAAGCACTTCCTACTGAAGAATAAGCAAGGCCAGCTTTTTGGATTTCACCTCTGCTTGAGGCCATAAGCAATGGACTTTGTTTCATAAAGAATTAACAGGTGCCCGACAGAGCTGCCCTCCTTATAGAACCAGAAACGGCCAAGACCGGTTTGGTTCGGTGGATAGAGCGTCGGCCTGCGGACTGAAAGGTCCCAGGTTCGATTCCGGTCAAGGGCATGTATGTTGGTGGCGGGCACATCCTAGGTAGGGGCTGTGCAGGAGGCAGCTGGTCAATGATTCTCCCTCATCGATGTTTCTGGCTCTCTGTCCCTCTCCCTTCCTCTCTGTAAAAAATCAATAAAATATATTTAAAAAAAAAAAAGAAAAAGACCCAGAAACTGCTGTCAGAGTATGGGATACGTCCTCAAAGTTCATGGGCCTGTCATCTTTCTCAGGAATGAGGTGCCGTGTCACCCAAATTCAGCGCGGTGCCTTGAAGAGTAGGGCCGATGTGGAGCTGACCTGCATTGATAATTTTTAATAGCTACCCTCTGGAGCTTGTGTTGGTCATTTCTATTTTCCTATTTATATTTCTACTAGTCCTGTTTTGGCTAGCTATTGTTCTCTTCAGTATCTTTAAAAGTGAACTTTTCCATAAATATCCTTTAATCTCTCTGAATATTGTTGTGTTTTTCTTCATTAATTGCTGTCAGTGAATTGTAGCAACTGGTGAGGGAAGGAGACCCAAAAGGCAGTGCTGTGTGACTGGGTCCCCAGCAGCGTTTCCAGTGGTTGGGCCAGGCCAGAGGGCCAAGCTCTGCCGTGGGGTGTCTCCGGCTGTGGAAAGCTTACTGGTAGATGCAAAAGCTTTTAGAGCCAAGGGCACTCGAAGCAGGAGGGTACTATGCAGAGTAAGTTTCCTTTCGTCGTCTCTTGACCAGCACAGTTTTAAATAGTAGCCAGGTAACAAGACCATTCCTTACTCTGGACTGAACCTAGCTTTTCTATCTAGTGAACTCTTTATAGGAAGCAGTGTCATGCTCCCTTTTTATCGTGGGAAATGGAGCTTTGGGAAATGTGTGAGGCCTCCCCAGAGGAACAAGTGAGACCCAGGAGATCAGATCCCCTGTTTTTGTTGTTGTTCTTTTCAACTCTGAAACCTCTAGTTGACCAGGTTAAGGATAGAAAATAAACCAATTCCATCACATTTTAGTCAAAGAAGTATGGAACTGTGCTAATATTTTTATATGTTAGGTCATGCAACTTTAGTACAATGAACATATTTATGTGATTGTTGGATGTGAGACTTCTTGAGACATGGAACAGATATTGATAGGAAAATAATAATTCTAACACATTCCCTTCACCCCCCCTCTCCCTCACCTATGCTTAATACCTTTTTTGCTACCTTTGAGAGAGCCAGAGAAATGACACAGGAAAGCACAGGGGGTGTAGCAGGAGCTGGAAACTTCCAGGTCCTACTCTGGTGTAAGCTTTTAACCTGCATGGGTGTCATTCGGAAATTGAGTTGGTTACAGTAAACTACAGGAGCATCCTATATAATAAAAGGGTAATATGCAAATTGACCGAACTGGAGAACAACCGGTCGCTATGATGCACACTGACCACCAGGGGGTAGATGTTCAACGCAGGAGCTGCCCCCTGGTGGTCAGTGCACTCCCACAAGAAGCTGGCGAGTGCAGCAGCAGTGGCAGGAGCCTTTCCAGCCTCTGAGGCAGAGCTAAGGATGTCTGACTGACAGCTTAGGCCCGCTCCCGGGCTTCTGTACTATGAGAGGGCACAGGCCAGCTGAGGGACACCCCTCCGAGCCCCCCTCTCCCTGCTCCCAGTGCGTGAATTTTGTGCACTGGGCTTCTAACTCATACTTTATAAGTAGAGAACACAAATTCTATTTCAGCTTTGGGGCTTGGTTTAGGCAGTAATTATCAATGATAAAGAGATACGGTACATTATTGCAGAGCATTATTGCATCCCACACCTACTGAGTCAACAAGAGTATAAGATACAGAACATTTTTGCTTAGGGGATGGAAGTTATTGGGAAGGAAATATGCATTTCTTAAGCAAATATTTGTTATACTTTATGAGGTAGGTATTGGCTTGCTGGCGATGTGTTTTCTGAGAGGTAAGATAAAGGTAATTTGCTCTGGATTTTATTGTACAGATTCAGTTTCATGTCACGTGGTCATTTTTGCCAATGAATTTTAGAAGCAGTGGAATATTTAATAATATGTATGTGGCTCACACATGTAATTATTTAATTAAATATATGCTATGCACTTAGTAAAAGATAAATAAAATATAGACCCAACTCTTCAATGTTGCTTATGTGAGAGGATAGAGGGAGACTATTATTTTCACTTTATTTGTAGACTCTAGTTTAGTGAGTTTGTATTGCCTTCCTCTGCTTTAGTGCATACATCTGGATCGCTGTGATCAGAGATAAGCTCCTGTTAGGAATGTAATTTGGTAAACTTTTTAGAGAAAAGTTTAGCAAAATGTATTTTTTAAAAATCTTAAAATATTTCTTTTGAGACAAAAATTTTACTTCTGGGACTTTATCCTAGGAAATAGGAAATAATCAGCTATGTGTGGAAAGATAGCTATAACAGGCTGTTGTTCATCCTACATGTAGAATGGTGAAGAATTAGAAACTCAAGTATCCTATAAAAAATACCTTTTAAATTATGGTGCATCTCATGTGAAGGGTGTGCTAATGAACTCAATATATGGATATTAAACTCATTGTTTTGTTCATTTTAAATATGTTACAATTTTATTCATCAATTATAACTCAATAAAGCTGAAGAAAATAATCCTACATTTGTACAGTGGAATTCCATTGCATTTGGAAGAATATTTAAAGAGTTAGGAAAATGCATTTGATACACTGCTAACTGGTAAAAGCAAGTTATAAAACATTTTAATGTGATTCCCAACTATCCACTCGGTGTCTGTTTTTATTTTTCTGATACTTTCTTTTGTTTTCCATATTTTTCTATGATGATCTCATATTCCTCCCCTCCCCCAACATTTTATTATGAAAATTTTCAAAAATAAAGAAAAGTTGAAAAAGTTTCATAGTGAACACCTATGTATCTACCATCCAGGGTCTATTATTAACATCAATATTTGCTTTATCTCATATATACCCAGCTATGGATCCTATATCCATCAATCCACTTTGATGGCATTTCAAAATAAGTTACAGGCATCAATACATTTCCTCTTAAATTCCTTTAAAGCATGCCTATTATTACCAGAGTTCTGTATGTGTTTGCAGTTCTGTTTTCTTTTTTGGGGAAAAAATTATATACAATGAAATGCATGTATCACTCAGTTTTGACAAATATGAGCCCATGTGATCCATATACCGTTATTTACTTTTATAATCAGAAAAACACAATTTTAGGAAAAAAATGTAGCTCTGCAATCTATGGCACTTTCTAAGGTTGTTCCAGGAAATCGAGTTTTATAAACCTCTTCAGTATGTCACAAATTACTAATTTTTCAGTCTTAGTATGCTCCTCTAAAATGCTTCATCTGTACTTTCCATAGCAGTGCCATAGGATCCGCAGTGGTGACTTAGCTCGTTCATGTTAGTTACAGGTTTACCTATAGTGCTCTATTTCTTTTCGTGTTTACAACAGGAAGCAATGATCTGAAGAATATATACCAAAGGTAAGAGAAGAAGCCATTATTGTATCTTTTGGGGAGATTTTAGTTGAGCTGACATCAAACCAAATTGCTGAGGCTGAAATTGAAGCAAGGAGCGGAGAGGGCAAAGAATGCCCTTGTGGACCAGTGTCCCCTCCCAATGGCTGCAGCCCCCAAGAACAGCCCCCAAAGTATTCATCAGCCTCACAGCGGGGGCTTCAGAACGGGCCCATCGGAACAGCTCATTTTACCTTGGCTGTACATTTGATGACATGTAGAACCAGCCCTGTCTGTACATGATATTTTTTTTCCCATCTGAGAGATAGAAACCTGCAAGCATTTGCATTAACTTGGAATTTGATATTCAACTGATAGTAGAAAACCAGATTTAAGTATGAGATGTGAAAGAGACACGATTGCTTTTCATTTCCCCAAAAGAATTGAAAGGAAGTTCAATCCTCAAGAGATAAAATATGAGGCTTTTTCTGCATTTGCCTTGCTTTATGCAAGGCACCACTCCCTTTATTTAAAAAAACAACAACATTTTTTCCTTCCATATCTGACTCTTGTGGAAATGTTGAAAGCCATATAAATTTAAATTTCAAAACTGTCCCACATTGTAAATATTTATACAGAGTTCAAAAATGTCAAAACTGATAATAAGAACAGGACCTACCAATAACTTTTTATATAAAAGGAGACTATCCATGTGAAATGGAAAACACAATCTTAATATTGACACAAAACTAGGAAAGAATGAGAAACAAAAGCTTTTGTTACACAAACTCTATCAAAATGACAGCATTTAGTGCTTCATAGAAACCTAGTCTAATGTTGATACCACTTAGTTCATAGGAGAGAGACCCTTTTTCCTCCTCGTTGTAGTTCTGTTGCTGGCTTTTTATTAATAAATTATTTGCATTTGCTTTAGTT